TAGAAAATTTTCCATACTTTAACCTTTCATTTAATACTCCCCAAAAATGCATATTTGAAAGCCATTCGACGTTTTGACGTTTTGTAATAGTAACAATCCTCTGTGATAAATTAATGCGTCGCATATAGTTCCTGCCAGAAGCTGTTAATGTTTTGCATATCGAGTTCAGAGTACCAGGTAAAGCAGGCTGCCCAAAATTAAGTCTAAATGCTCTATTGAAAATGTGAATAATGTGACTTCTGCGTCTCCCGAGGTTTGATCCCGTGCTGTTGCTCCGTCTGTTATCAGTCAACAACTTTACAAGGTGAGATTTGGAATTTTATTGAAAAATCAATTGTATGAGGACAATAGTATAGATGCATATTTTTCCATAGACATACAGAGATACTTTGAAAAAGAGCACGATTCATCTCTTGCTTTGCCCAAAACTCGTAATCAACGACGTGTGTGATGATGACGCTTGTGGTGGTTTCGCTGAGGAGTTTTTTCGTTCGGTCTTTCCGGTTTGACTTTGTAGACGTGAGTGTAATAATCGCGGAAGAATGGCGAATGCTCAAGATGATCAAGTTCCTAAAGAAGTGCGGATAATTTAGGAACATTAGATGTTTTCATATCCTTTCAATACTATCACTTGATAACTTTACGAATAGTTCTAAGACGCAATTTCTTTCTATTCCTCAAAGATCAAGACATTTTATATTGGAAATTTATTTGCTTCATTTTGAGATAAACCGATAGATAGCATAGCACTAAATAGACCAAACAAATTTACATTACAATGTGACCAATAAACGTTGATGTCGAACGTGCAAAGTTTTAGTTTGAAAACATGACAATTTGATGAAGTAATCGAAACTATATGACGTCTCAACTTACAATACTATCGAAAAAATGTTCACGCTTATTGTCTTTCTTGCGACGCCTATCGTCGATGTGTTTGTAGAATGCTTCGTATTCTCCGCGAGACACTAAGCCATCTCCTTAATATCAGATATTGCGCTTATTAAACAAGAATGTTGATATTTCTGGACTATTAGTATTAGTACCAACTTAAACATTAGACCATTATTCGGGATAAATGCGAGGAAAATATTTTCTGAAGTGTTGTGATTATATAAATACTCTACCTCAGTAGAAGTGAGATAATATGCCATAATTTTATGGGAAAAAAACAAAGATAAGGGCTACTGCAGAAGCTCGAAATAGCTACTTGAACTTATCATACGCTAGAGCTACTTGAACTTATCATACGTTCGCTACATGTATTCGTCACCCAGAGAAAACTGGACACCTTTACCGATCTATGAAGGACATCAAAATCAAGTAAACTTTGTACTCCGCGTAGATTCTGCAATCTTAAATGCTGTAACAGCAATTTGTTTAGGAGGACTGAACTCTATGAACGTTCGACACTATATGAATATAAAGGAGAGTTACTAGTCTAAAGCACACATTTCAATTCCTCTGCAATTTCTGATGTGAAGACAGTTCTACTAAGTATCATAAAAAGCTATAGGCTTATCTGTACCTATTTATGATAAGTTTTGTTAACTTTCTGTGGTGATGTCCAGATTGGATAACACATTAAGTTGCAATGTTGACGTTGATGGAAACACTCTCTTCCGACTTCCCACCTTTCAGCGATGGGATAAAGCCAAAACGTGGGCGCAGTTTTGTTTTTTTTCCTCCCCAAACAGCGGAAATTGCAATCATACGCAAAGATTATCGACATAAACTTTTATGTTAAATCATTGTGATATGCTTACCAAGTTCGTCTTAGCTGACATAATTATTTGCTATTTGCATTTTTACTTCTTC